AAACGCAGGCCGGATAATGTCCTTCAGTCCTGAAAGCATACGTTTATATTCCTCCGATAGGTCCTCAAGTCCACACTGTGTTAAAATCAAAAAGACGAACACATACAACTAGCATTTTTCGAAATATGTAACGTCGCGTCTGACTAAACAAAACCTATTAAAGGCTTATATGATAAGATCCAGTAACGGTGTTTTTTTGGACTCGACAACGTAATTAATCAATCAGCTGGTTCAGTAATTAAAGGATTTTAAAAGCGGGCCATGGAGTTGAGGACACAGATAGAGAATAATAAACGAATTGCATATTTATATTGAAAATTCAAAAGTGTTAAACGCGAGAACAAAGTAATTAACGTATCAACCGAAAAAAATCCTTATTGAGAATCTCACAGTGGCTCAGTTATTCAAGATACATTTCATATTTCGTAAAATCTGAAAGTTCATTGCAGTGCTTATAAGAGACCGCTACAATTTTTTGTCCTGAGCCAATTGAATTCAGCCTAAACTCTCAAAAACTACTTTTTTAAGATTAATTTTACAATTTTCCTCCGTCTACGCCTAGGTTTTCCGGATGTCTCTGGCCTTCAAATTTTGCAACGGAAATATTATATGCATTTCTCACCAACGCGGACCAAAACATTTGTAATTTTCTGCAAAAAATCTCAAATTTGATTTATCAAATTACTTTCGTGTTTATGAATTTGTTTGTTACGATTAAAATACTCCGACCGCATTACATATTAACACTGGATGCGAGGTCGTGTTAAATTATACCAAACAAAACCCGTGGGGTGGATCAATTTCGTCGTCAGTATTTCGCTCACCGTTGTTCCAGAGAAAGACCACGCACCAACCTTAAGAGAAAAGACGAAACCAGCAAAGTCAATGAAAGATCTTTCACTGTCTGATCAAGATCTGAAGCTAAGTGTCCGGAAAACTGACAAAAATATTACAATTCTATCGTTTCTTGCATTATTTAAAGTCTCTACTGTACAGTTTTTATATTATGAACTAACTGTGAAGAGAATGAGAAATACATTTATAAATTTGGTTGGAAGAGATTCGTAAGGATACCCAGAAGAAAATAACAGAAGGATCAAATATATCTCAGAAATGTAAATTATGAGAGTTGGTTCGGTTTTAAACGGATCGAGGTACAATGCAGTATTGTGTATCTGTGAATTGTGAAGAGTATTTATTAATGACCTGTAGACCAACTTTTAAATAAACAACCTGTACCAGAGCTGCACAGAATTTAAAAATTAATTCTGATGGTATTGTTGTGATTAATATTCAAACAAAATGGTGAAATAAAGGTGTATCCATTTATAGCACGGCCAATAACACAGCAAAATCATGATACATGATATTCAAAACCTTTTAAATATTCATTAGCTGTATTCAGTTAACAACTGATCAAATTATTTGTTTCATCAGACTAGTTAATGGAGTAATCATTCATCTCATTAACAAATGCGTTCATATTGCAAACATTCACTGAGAGGCAGGGGGATGATGTGCAGGAGTTAACAACGTGAAACAGAATGGAACTCACCTGTTCAGCCTTTGTTACAGCCATCACAATAACCTGATTCAAGGCTGAGTCCACTGGATTAATCTCTAAAATACGATATCAAGGTTAATTTAATTGATTAGGTATCATATGAAAAACTCATTGCTAAATTACTCAATT